GGCCTTGAAAAATAAACTTAACTGGTTTCCAACGTCTAGCCCCCCCCCCCCAGGGGCACAGGGGGAGGTCTGGGGACTTACAACGCTAGAATCCGGGTTTCGATGCCCGTGGTGGGCAGAGCGCAGATAGCCCATTGTGTAGCTTTATGCTTAATTACAAAACAAATCGTACACGTCGCAAATCTTCTCCATTAAGTTGTACTGTATTTTTTTCTTAATAGCACCGTGAATTTACTGCAGCATTTCTTTACAACCTTCAATTTCAGTACTACATTTAAACAAACAAACAAACCACACGTGCTTAATTATATATTTTTTTTTATTTAGGTGCTTCTGAAAAGCAATCCTTTTTGGGCTCGGCTCACAGTATAGCATAATTATAACCTCTGTGAGTTTATACATTGATGTATTAAAACCCATTTTTTTATTTTACTTTTCTCCATGTTATAAGATTACAAACAGCACTGAAAACAACTCAATAGCATTGCATTCCTCTTATGCCCACTGTCATCTTGCGATAACGATGACCTCTCTGAGCATTTATGGTCAAGACTAATCAATATCAAGCTGTTTTATGTAGTAAAGTAAAAGCCTTATTATCTAGCATTTGCCAGCCTTGAGTAGTGCCAGATAGGTGATACTTCCGGTTGCTATAGCATTTCCCTTACGATTTTTTACAGGAAAAAATTGACACCTTGTTAATGTTCTAAACTATGATATTTTTTACATTATCTATAACAATACCAGTTTTAAACTATAATCACTGTTGTTAAAAAAACCTTAAGTTAAACTGTGTAAAAACATTTATATGTACAGTATTTTAAATTTGAATCACGGTACAGCCGGCTAACAACTGCAACTTGTCGGCGGGAAATAATGTAAACAAAGCCACAGCAGCGCCACTAATATACAATGAACATGTGTATTTGGAGATGTTGAAATTTCCGGTTACAAGAACTTTCCGGGTACAAAGATGCCGAATAACAAAGTTTTTACTGTAATTAAAAATCAAATATATATATTCAGTGGAAAAACTATAATAAAAGAATGGGCACTCTTACCTATTACATACTTTTAATAAATAGAACTTTTCTCAATATAAAAATGAATTATTCCTCATCATTTGATATATTTAATCCAAGTTTTAATAAGTTAAAATTCGTTATACATTAAAATCGATTAAATAACTATTCATGGTTTATATTTAACAACATAATTTTTTTTTTTCAATGAGTTACATTCAATGTTGCCTGGCAGGTATTAATAATAATTCATTATAGGAATAGTCTTGCTTCTTCATAAAATCAGCTTAACGATTAATATGTATTCATTATTTTAATCCATAAGAAATAAAAAAAAACATTTTATATATATGTAGTACTGTCTAATAAGATATCATTATCAGCGCTAACCAACAATTAGAGAGGCATTTTAATCTGTTCATGGTATCGTATATCAATACTCCTTTTGTCCTCTAACAACCCCGAGAGAATAATTTGCTGTTTCAATTATCTTTAGTGCAAGCCTATGCACTATCAAATTGAGAAGATTTAAACTTCTGCAATGCTTTGTTACTAAAGTTTCGCACTTCTTAAAGATAATCCTGAATCCATAATATACGTCACAGCTGTTCTGCTGAGTTGAAACGTCTTCCTTGGGTAATGAAAACTACAGAAGCTACGTCCTGTTGTTACAGCTTGAAACTTAAGCCCAGTGTCTGCTTTGAGAATACATAGAGCACGCGATTCCATTAATGGCTGTTCAGTCGAAAATAAAGCATGATTTGTCTTACTGCGTGCTATTATGAAACGTATCCGGAAAATCAAGCTCCATTTTAGTACTACGCGAGGTTAAGTTATTAATAAGAACTTCTGAGTGTAAGTAAAGAAGTGAACAATAATATGTCAACCACATTGTATCTGTTATATTAGTTAGAATGTCTTCCCAGACAACAGAAAAAAAAAGTTACCTCATACATTCAGCATGTTACGAGCTACCTCTATTAACAGGGAATATAATAAATAAAACATTGTTTAATAATAATGTTTCTATATTTATCAATGTCTGAAAGACGTATAAATGTGTTTAATATGGCCAATTTTATCGTAATAATTACCAGAATCTTATATTATCATTTGTAACTTCGGATAAAACTGATTCTGCGATTCTATTGCATTAAGAAGAAGAAGAAAAGAGAGAGACAGTTGACGTTATTTTACCGAGCACCTCGATAAGAAATAACTTTTCTGGATGTTAGTTTATTTAGTAAGGACATTTTTCATAAATGAAATGTCCACCAGTGGGTCAGCGGTACTTCCACGGACTTACACGGCTAAAATCTGGGGTTCCATTTCTCACGGTAGACAGAGCGCAAATAGACTATTATGTACCTTTGCGCTACAAATCAAACAATCGTAAATGAAATTTATATTTATGAAAAATAGTTGTATGTGTTTGTTTCCTTTAACACGTGACGAAACATAAAGATTTGGGATATCTTAGTTTCAAATAGTTTGAGAGTCTATATTCTAAAACTCGGGGCTCGATACTCGAGCTGGGCCCAGTGGGGATAACTCAACCGTCGCCCCCAGTGGCTCAGCGATGACTGTGAGGGTTTATAACGCTAAGATTGGGTTTCGGGCAGAGCAGAGATTGCTCATTATGTAGCTGTGTGCTTAACAACAAACAAGCAATTCAAACAGTTTTTAGTAGGCTTACTACTGTTTTAAATGGACTCCAACAGGAGCTCTATGAAGTTCTTCTTAATATTTTAACATAACCGAAATGAACATTATAATATTGAGCTAAACAGATAATATACAATAGAAATTAAATGAAACAACTTTACAAGATAGCGAAGATATGCTTAAAAATGAATGTATATACCAAGTGTCTCAAGCTGATTTTACAAACCAAGGTGAAATCTAAAACACTCGAATGAAAAAAAAAAAGTTAGTTGTAAAACTTTTTGTGAAACTTCCAATGAAATTAGTACAAAACCATCTGTAGTGACTTGCGTAAGGCTAGATAAATATAGACTATTTTTCGTTTATCTGAAATAACGAATCGTTAAGTTGGAAGTAGAAGGAAAGCAGTTACATCTGTAAAACTACAAAGTTATTATTTTTATATATCGTTCCATCTTGTTATTTTCAAAGTGCCCATAAAAGTGCTTTTCTTCTCTCTACGTACTACATACCTCTACGTGACCTCTTCAATCACGCGATGATGGGATGCGTAGCAGTTCGAAAATATTAGGATTGTTTAGACATAAGACATGTTCTGAGACGTAGAAATCCAATGAAATAAGATCAGAAAAGCCAAAGCTATTCTATATAAAGGCATTGGGGGTATTCTATAATAGCTTCAAGAGTTGTATTTGATACATCTTTACACTTAATTAAAACTTGCTGTTGTGAATAAAGTATTAATGTTATCACTATAAATACGTTTTTGTTACTCTACACTTTAGTAAAAAAAAAAAGATGGTTATCAACACAGTATTTTTGTGCTTGCTAATGAATTTTTTAAATAAAAAATAATCCTGTTCATTCTTAATCGGACCTGTCATGGATCGCGCGATCGAAACCCGTCGCCAAATATGCCGAATCTTTCAGCCGTGGGGGCGTTATAATGTGATGATCAATCCCACTGTTTGTTGTTAAAACGTTGCCTAAGAATTGACGGTAGGTGGTTTTGATTAGCTGCCTTTCGTATAGTCTTTCACTTCAAAATTAGGAACAGCCAGTGCAGATAGGCCTTGGATAGCTTTGTGCGAGATTCAAAAAACAAACAATCAATCTTTCTGAATTATCTGAAATTTGCTTTTCATTTACATTGCCATAAAACTTCTAGTTTTTTAGCCCAATAATGTTTCACCTTAAGTTCTGTTTTAATATGAAAAAAATAAGTTGGAACTGTTACACCTGTATTCAACATGAAGACCTGACGTAAAAAGATATAACAATTTTGTGCTTATTTATTTTATTTGCGCTACATTTGCTATTGAAATAACAGTGTATCGTTGTTTTTCAAATCTCTCAATAGGGGCGTTCAAGCTCTACGATGTAGACAACGATGGATACATCACGAGAGAAGAAATGTACAGTATTGTAGACGCTATTTATGAAATGTTGGTAAGTATTGTTAAAGTCATCTTCTACGTGTAAGCTGTTATCCTTGACATCATTTAATAGGTATTTAATCTTGGGCGTGATGTACTAGAAAATAGTATGTGGCTTAAAATCTATCAACCAGTTGTTAGTAAATATCCATTGAAGATATGTGAAACAGTTGGTAAATATCACAGATGCTACCTATAAAACATTGGTAAGTACATTATATAAATTATATATAAATATATTACATAATGCCAGTTTTAACTCATCTAAATCTCGAACAAACAGTACCTCGTAAAGATTATACAGTATCTCCAGTTCTAAGCAATAGATACGTCATAAAGCTTAACGCTGATATCAAGAAGCTGTTTTCTCATTCACTGTTTAGTGAATTCTAAACATTGTTCAGCAGAAGCTATCCAATCTGGTTGGACGTTCTGGTTATTTATTCGCTTCTACGGTAGTTGCTTCTTGGGATTTTCTTATATTTTTAGCCTTCTCATGATTTCAGATTAATTCTAAGTTATATTAGGCCCATTTCATTTGACTGTATATAGCTAACATTGAAGTATAACTGATACGTGTGTTTTAGTCCCTGTGTTCATTCCTTTAATCCAAAAACAAGTAGCATTTGAAATATCACGTTAGACTGGTCAAACGCTCGTTGTTGTTGACGTCATAAAATAAAGGTTTTTCATCTACTTATCTGATCCAAAAGTGTTGTTGATATAAAGCAAGGTCATAGCTCTACGTTCAAGTCTTTATTTATAAAGTTATGTTAACACTGGCAAAACTGGAGAACTCATCGATGTACCATCTGTAGTCAAGTTCTTCTTAAAGAATTATAAAGATAGTGTAGTGACTTTGGCCATAACCTGGCCTCACAGCGTATGGAGCAGCCAAAAAATAAGATTTGTTACACATGGAATTTCAAATCAACCAACCGATATTGAGTTCCAGCGATCCCTGACAGAATTTCACTGTTGTGTACCACGTGACATTTTTAAAAGTTGGTTATCCCGATAGTACAACTGCTTTTTTTTGTTATGGTTGAGGGACACCTGTGCTTGGCTGATAAGTCCTTAATGGTACTGATTAATTCAGTTATCGAAATTCTCGATAACAGAAAAACTACAACACAGCTGTTGTTTACTGTGCCAGTGTCTGTGACCTGCAATCTGAAAATAACTTGAATAAATGCTTCGAAATCTTAATTTGATGTTAGTCACTACTAATTTTCAAAATTGATCCCCCCTCAATAGGTCATCGGTAACTTTACGAACTTACAACGCTAAAACCCGAGGTTCGATTCTTCATAGCGTACCGATAGATTACTATGTAGCTTTGCACTAAAATACTTTCTTAATTGTTTTACCGAATTAAATTAATACTCAATACTATAAGCTTAATATTGTAAAGAATGTTTCAAAGACTCGCCTATCTGTAAGTAAAATTAACCTTAAAAGATAAGATGTAGACATCTTTTCCAAGTCGGTGGCGTTTTTCTTTGTGTGTGTGTGTGATGTTGTCGTATTCCATAAATAAGTTTACGAACTTATATCGCTAAAATCAGGGATTCGATTCCTTGTGGTGGAAAGAGCGCTGATAGGCTATTGTGCAGCTTTGCGCATAAACAAACATTTCCTAAACCTAACCGGTAGCAATATTCAAATAATTTTTAGTATCAACTCTTTTATTTAAATACAGAAAAGCTGTGTAGTGGTTTTTGTATCTCCAAAGGTTCATTCTTTTTATGCCTGTTCACAGGTTGCGAAATACGTCGTCCATCACAATATCTCATGGGAATACTTTAACGTATACTTTATATACGTAAATGATTATTTGTTTCTAAGAGCATTCTACCATTTTACTGAAATTGATTTTCTTAACATTAAGTGTACTAAGCTCACCCAGACTATGAATCGTAAGATTAATGTTTTGCGACCGATTTTATCAAAAAACTCGCTCCGCTGGACCGTGGATGTGCTACAAAAGTGACGGTCAAATCCCACTATTTTAACCTAACAAGAGTAGCCCAAGAGTTGGCGGTGGGTGATGTTGACTAACTGGCTTCACTCTAATCTATCAGTTCAAAATTAGTGACGACCATGTGCAGATAACCCTTGCAAAATTCTGAAACAAAGGAGCAAGTATTAATGGGAGTGAGTTAATAAGCTAAATCTGTTCAAAAATGATTTTAACAGATTTTGGTGCAGTTAAAAAACAAAATAATTCATAATTCTTGAGAAGAAAAACAAGAATTTATCGTTCATGTACCTCTCTTAAAGACATTGTTTTAACGCCACTTTCTGATTTGCTGACCGGTTAGGTTGCGTTTCATTTTCACCGATATTCTCAATGACAATATATACACAGTATTGATTAACCAGAATCAGGACTGAACTATGTTGCTCTGCCATCTGTTGAAGCGTAGGTGAACTATTTAGAGCTCCTTTTTCATGTATTCAAAGTATAACATATGAAATATGGATAATGCTGTTTATTAATTCGCAACTATAAGTTACCAAATTTGCAAAACAAGTCAAAGAAAGGTTACTTAATAATAATATTCTGAATGATGTATTCAGTAGCAGATCTAAGTTTAATGTATTGATGAAAATTATATGTTTTACAAACCTCGAGAAAATAAGAATCAAAAGTAGTGTATTCAGTAGTGAAATAAGAAGAATACGCTTAGGCTACTTAGCGAGTTGTCAAAGTTCTTGTTTTTGAAAAATAATAGGTCATAAGACACGAGTAGTACACATGAAATAACTGAAAATCAAAAGGAAATAATGGATCAAATGTAATGTTTTGAAGATAAGAACTGCTGTCTGACTGTCTTCTTCTGGTCAATAGCTCAAAATTTAGGAACTGTTATATCTGAATGTTAGACAA